CAGATAACAGTCAGCTGAAGTGGCCTGCAGTACTGCACCCTAACCACTGCGCCACCTGGGCTCTTGAAGGGGTCACTCCAGAGAGCCTTCACTGTGGTGACACCCTTACTTCAGAATCTCTTCTCTTAAAAAAGCACCTTTAGTTCATTTGCCATTTTGAGCATCAATAGCAGTGCTTTCGTCCCTTGGAGGGAAGCCACCAAGGAAAAACGGAGGCAACGAGAAGGAAAGGAGAGCAAGGAGGAACTCAAAAGTTTTCTTTGACCTGAATTAACTCTGTAAACTGACTCATATTTTTTCATGGCAACAAGAGCAAAGTTGTCCAAAAGGTGCTTTTCCCCCCCCCCCCCAAGAGGCAACTGGACTTTCAGGTTTTTCTTTGAAGATGTTCCGCTTCTCATCCAAGAAGCTTCTTCAGCTCAGAGGGGACAAGAGAGAAGAGAGAAGGGAGGATGGGGAAAAGGGGAGGAGGAGGATAAAGAGAAGGACGGTGGACCTTGATGGTGAGCAAAAGAGCATTCGATTTCTCGGTCCTTCAATTCTCCCATTAAAAATCTCCCTTCTGCTTGCCCAGGCTGAATCTCAGATCTACAGTAATGTCTGACTGTCGTCGTAAGACTTTAAATCCAAGTTTTGTTTTGACGGCAGGCTATGGTCAGGGGTAGGATCCAGCCGGTTTGGACCGGCTTGGGTGAACCGGATGTTAATTTTACATCTGGTTGGCTGAACCGGCAGCTGAAAGGACTGGCTGGCCCCTCCCACCCTTCCCTGCCCCTCCCAGGAGTCTCCATGTGGCCCGTTCATCATGCCAGGTAAGGGCAGGGCCCGCGTGGAGACTCCGGGAGGGCAAAAAACGGGCTTCCCCGAAGTCCCGTTTCTGGACTCCAGAAGTCGTTTTCGCCCTCTGGAGGCTCGAGGAAAGCCTCTGGAGCCTTGGGAGGATGAAAACTCCCCCCGCCGCCGCCGTGGTGCAGCAGGCCGAGTAGGCCACGCCCACCATAGCCACGCCCACCCAGCAACCGGGCAGAGACCCCGGTTGCTAACCTTTTTGAATCCCGCCCTTGGCTATTAAATTCCAATTAAATTTTCAGCGCCTTCTCTTTCTTCCTCGGCATTTTCTCCTTGGCGCTGCGAAGACTGGAATTTATGAACACGAGAAAGGATGGAAGGACCCAGCTTACCACGGGTGACGGGCCGCCTGTTCACAGGTATATCTTTTATTGGGGTCTTTCTCCATCAGGTTCCGAATAAAATCTTTAGCTGGGAGAGAAAGGAGAAAGAAAAAAGGTGTTTGGTAGCCGAAGGAACAAAACGGCACAGCGGTATTTATAAAGGCAGCCTAAACACAATGAGAATATATCTGCTGAAAAAGACTCTGCATTGGCAACAGGAAGGGCAACTGGCCAGTAAGCACCCGGCTCCATTCAATTTGCCCAGATTCCACCCCGTCAGGGATTATTGGGTCATTAAAAGATGATGATGATTGTGAGACAGCCCAAACCTGACTATAAATTACATTACATGGGAATAAATTAATAAATTAAATGGGAATTACATTAATAATAGCAATAGCAGTAGACTTATATACCGCTTCATAGGCCTTTCAGGCCTCTCTAAGCGGTTTACAGAGAGTCA